TGTTTCAGCCTGCGTTTTCTAAGTCTTGATTTGACTTTGCTTCAGGTCTGGAGTGCGACTTGGCCATGAATCTGGTGGGGCAGCCCCTGGTGAGGCAGCAGGTGATGAAGGGACTGAGGGAGTTCCTGGAGAACCGGAATCCAATGAAACCCCTCGTGATGTCCTTCCACGGCTCGACTGGAACAGGCAAAACCTATGTGAGCTCCATGCTTATGCGCTACCTCTTCCAGGGTGGGCTCCAGAGCCCCTACGTTCACCAGTTCTCTCCGATAGTCCACTTCCCTCATGCTGAGCGGATTGAGCAGTACAAGGTAAGGGACACTTCTCAGCCCAGGACTACTTGATTGGGGTTTTTTTTGGTGATGTCCATCTTGATCCTCAGTACATACACATTCAGGCTGTTGCCTGAAGTGAAGCAGGAATAAAAGCTCTTTGTTTTACCCTCTCAGACACGGCTGAGTGAGTGGCTCCACGCACTGGCTGAAGGATCCACTAGTAACTGTGATATACTCTGGCACTCAGTTATCACTTTTGTCTTCCCCACAGCAGTCCTTGCCATGATCATGTTCTCATTCCTTAAATATTTACACAGCCCTTTGAATGCACAAACAAAAGTGCTTTGCTTAGATGAAAGGCACTAAAATTCTCCCATTGCTTTCCAAACAGCTTGATGGCTGTGAAAACCTGCCTATTGCTAGACTTGTAATCCCTTCCTCACAGAGCAAGCAGCTCCTGAACAGCAGCTCTAGACTCTTAACTGTGCCACTCTGTCTCTTAAAGCTGAAAAACGGAAGACATCAAAATGTGAAGGTTAGCTGCCAAACCCTCAGCAGAGTGGGGAATCAGCGCACCTGGACATTTGCTTTCTGGGTGTTTGGAGAAGTTATTTGTTGTATTGTGTCCTTAGAAGAAATACTCTCAGGAAGGTAAAACCCATACTGGGTAAAGTGCTTTAATTAAGAGTTATACATGCCCCCAGGCAATGTGAGTGGTTTTGTGTGGGTTGGCATCCACACTGAAGTAACTTCAGCTGTGGTAAAGAGCTGGAGCTCTTCTGGGTCAGCGCAAGCACATGTTTTTGCACCAGGACAGGAGCTGGCAAAAAGTACTCAGTAGCTGGGAACTGTAGATACACAGTGAAAGAGAAGAACGTGGGGAACTGTAGGAGTCTGAATCCCCAGCTTTAGTTTACTGCCTTCTTTAAATCTGTAATAAAAGATCTACAGTGGGCTAATAAAGCCAGTAACAGCCAGAATAAAGGAGGCCTCCCCAGTGCTGGCTGCTCCTGCTCCAAGTAGATGCTGCTGTGCAGGGAGAAGCTGCTTTCAGCAGCTGCAACTCTGCTTGAGCTCAGGCCTCAGCTTTTGCTCTGGGGTAGCTCAAGCCACCCTCGGTGTCTCGCTGTCTTACGGCTTGGTGGGTATTTTTCCTAGGAAAGCCTGAAGCGCTGGATCCAAGGGAACTTGACAAACTGTGGACGGTCGGCCTTTCTCTTTGACGAGATGGACAAGATGCAGCCGGGCCTGATTGACGTGATCATTCCATTCCTGGGACCCTCATGGGTTGTGTACGGGACCAACTACCGCAAAGCGATCTTCATCTTCATAAGGTAAGAGAGGCCCCTCTGTGGCATCATGGGGCCTTCCAGCGCACCACTTCTCATTTGGGCAGAGGTCCTACCTAATTCAGAGCACACACTTGTTTTGCTTTTCCTTCTCCAAGCTTTGAGCCTCTACAAATACCAAGAGACACTATTTTGTTGTGCATAGACAGACCTGGAGAGTCTGAAAAAGCTCTCCTGCCCCAGTTATTTGGCTGCCTTTACAGGAGTCATTTTAAACCAGGCAGCTGGGAGATCCTGGCTTGCACTCATGCAAGCTGGAGGGTGCCAGATGCCACCTCTGTCCTGCAACACCATTTTCTCAGACACATGCCAAATAAGCATCTCAATTCTTGTGCAGCAACGCAGGAGGGGAGCAGATCAACGAAATGACACTGGATCTCTGGCGTGCCCACAAGGACCGGGAGGAGATCAGCCTGCAGGACCTGGAGCTGGCCATCTCCAAAGCCGTGTTTGAAAACCCTCAGAGTGAGTCCGTGGAGCGGAGCCCTTCCTGCAGGGCCAGAGCCCGGCAGAGGGAGCCAGGCCCATTCCAGGCAGCCGCCGACACCGCCTGCCACCTCCCAGGCAGCCAGAAAGGGACGAGGCGGGGTTAAGGGAAGGGAATTGCTATCTCGAGGTTTCCTGGCGAAGGGAAGGAATAGCCTGGCCTTCCAAGCCAGTAGACCTGTTGCCACGTTTAGGAAAGTTCTTTGGAGACAAGGTGTATTCACAGTTGGGGGATGGCGAACAGCACAGCATGCTCACTGGAAAGGCGCCGAGGCATACCGATCCCCACTGCCTGCCTGGTTCTCCTTGCTCTGCCTTTGTCACAAGGAGCAGAGCTTAAATTCTGACTAGTCGAGCTAAATCCCCCCATTCCTGGAGAACAAGTCTGTTGGGGGAGGAAAGGAGGTGACAACTGATGGGTTCAATTCTCTCCTTGTACAAAACTGCAGCAGATCCATCTTCAGCCGAGTATTCTGGCTTCGCGCAAAGCAGCTCTTGGAATTCCAGGGACTGCAGAGACTCTCTGAAGGTAAAACCTGTCTCTTCCTTTACTTTTGCAGGTGGATTCTGGAAATCTGGGATCATTAACGAACATCTCATTGATTTTGTTGTGCCCTTCCTCCCACTGAGGCACCATCATGTAAAACAGTGTGTCGTCAGCGAACTTGTCCAGCAAGGCCTCGAAGTACGTCCAGGTGTTGTCCAGGAGGTGGCTGACAGCATCCCCTACTTCCCAGAAGAAGAGAAAGTATTCTCATCAACAGGCTGCAAAACAGTGGCTTCTCGGATCAGTTTTTTCTTCTAGTCACTGGCAAAGGCCTTGCTTGGATCCCATAGGGGATGTATATGGAGCTGTAAAGCGGCAGAGCCCAGGGCTGGCGAGATGAGCGGCGGGAGCTGCATGTTCCCTCTTGGGTGACCCCGTCTCTCCAGCCCCAAGGAGGCTGCCGCAGGATGCAGCTGCGGGACCAAGTGCAAGTGATGTGATTTAAAGCACTTTACTGATTTACCCTTGGCCAGGTGAGGTTGGATACGACCAGCCCGGCGCACCACCCAAGCCATCTGTGACAAGGGGAAGATGCTGAAGGATGCAGCGTCAGGGAAGTTTCTCACCCTGTCAGCAGCAGCTACCTGCAGCTCTCCCCTCTCCTAGCAGCTATTGATATCCAACACATCAAGATTCTGAGCCCACAGAAGAATATTTCTTTCCTATAGGATTTTAACTTTTTTTTTTAAAAACCTTTGTAAGCATGGCTGTGCCTCAGCTCCTCGGTATGCAACAGTGCTGGTGCTGACTCCTGCAGTGCTGGCCTGTGAACACCTTCAACATTGCAGCAAAGTTTTCTTTTCAAGGAAGTTTTAGAGCCAGCTTCTTTCCAGCTTCCTTCCACTGTGAATAGGTGCTGGTAGGGACCAGCATCACCATCAACAAGCAATGGCGGGGGGTAATGTGGGAGATGGCAACACCTGCTCTGCCAAGAGCCAGGTTCTTCCTACCACCCCCTTGTCCATCTTTCCCCTAAGGTCCAAAGGATATCCCTGCAGAAAAAACAGGAAAACAACAACAACAAGACATTTCGCTTGTTTTGCCAGCTACAGAAAATTCCAGTCCTACCTCCAGGGGAACCCATGGTGCCACTAGCGATTTTCAAAATTGCTTTTATTCCGTGCTGATTTCTACAGCAGGCTGGGAGTTGGTGCTATGAGCTGTTGAGCCTCTTGCACATCATTCTGCTGGTCAGACCTTGCAGGCTGTGGCTGGGCCAGCGTCTGTTTAGCTTCTGGGGAGTGTCACAACAGGCAGCCTGGGGCAACTTAAAGATTAGTGCTCCACACTGCCAAGCATGGAGTGCACAGCACCACTGGCCTTTGCCCAGGTTTTAATTTCCTCTGTGCAGTCAGTTATGGGAGAACAGGTCAGAGGAACCAGATCATTCACTCTCTAGGAACAAACTGCCCGAGGGATGGGTGCAGGGATGCTTCCCAAAGCTCCCCATGCTCTGCTCGGGCCCTGTGCTGAAATGAGCTGGCAGCACTTGGGACCATTCCAGCTCCAGGGCCAGAGCTTTAGGGAACAGCGATTTTAGACACCACCCAAATGCTGCCCAGGAGCTGGCCCACAGACAGACTCAAAAATTCTGCTTCTTCCAAAAATATGCATTTCTAATTTTAAAATAATTTTTTTATGAAATAAACGTTTGGGGAACAGTCTTTTACTTGGATTCCTCACTGCAGCTAGTGCAGAAGGACTTGGAAGATTTGCATTTGCATGGGAACAGCTGCCTGACATGATGGGACTTTGGGGATTTAGCAGCACAGAGCTGATGGTCTCCAATTAGGTAACTGGAAAATAAGAAAGCAGCCTTTCTCTGAGGAGGTGAAACAGCAGTAGCTGGGCCAGGCATCCTCCACAGAGGAGCCCGTGTAGGTCCAGGAAGGCCACTGGGTCTCTGCCCCAGCAGCACTTTCCCCCCACTGCAGAGCACGTCTCTGGGTCCCAAGGCCACGTTCACAGGGCTAGTGCCAGCGCAGCAGCTGGTGGGAGCCACCTCACCTCCTTCCCAGGGAGAGTCACTTTGCCAAGCCTGCCTGCTGGCCCCGTGCACAGGGAGCCGAGGGCCGGGCATAGTGGCAGACCAGCCATTTCTGCAGCAGATATTGCTGCCGCTCTGCACGCTGGCTGGGGGTGAGATCCAAGCCTGCAGCCCCTGCTGCCGCACCCCGGGCTTGCTCACCTGAATCGCTGTCCCTGGGACAGCTCCCACTCCCGCGTGCAGCCCTGCACCCTCAGGCACTGCTTCCTTCCAACCATCCTCTAGTGCCATCAGCAGCCTGGGGACAAGTGCCAGCACAAAGGTAACGCAACAGGCCTACAGCAATGCCCCCCCAAAGCGATCCTTTATCTAGGAGGGCTGAGGAGTGAGACACCTGCTTGGAACAAGGTTCCCAGGCCAAGTGTAGACATCCAGCAACCCATCGTCACCTTTTAGGCAGACTGCACCAGCCCACCTCGCCACCAAGGCCTGCCGTCCCTGCTCGTGCAGTGCCGCTGCAACCCATCTCCGCACAACACGGTCCCCCAGGCTCAGCTCCAGCGCCTGCTGGTAATCCACTAGCCAGCTCCCCCAGGCGAAGGAAGCAGTCTGCAGCGAGTCAGCGTCGGCGTCTCGGTTAAATGAGAGCGGCTGGGGGCTGGCTGTCACCCCCGGGCTTTGTCTGGAGCTCTCCATGCCAGCGGGAAACATGCACGGCGCGTGTCCAGCCCCCCCTAGCCACAAAGATTCCAGCATCATTAGCTAAAAGCTCTGAGCTCCGGTCAGGCAGGAGACACAGCCCAGTCTGGAAGAGCAGCCGTTTCCAGCCATGCCCCCAGGACAGGCCATGCGGGGAGGGAGCCAAACCACCAGCAGTAAATCCCAGCTCCTGGTACTTCTCCCCGCTGCTGAAACAGTCCAGGCAGGCACAGCTGTGAACTGGGGTTAGGACCAAAGGAGAACCCAGGGACCCTACTGCCCATCTCAGTCACTGCTCCCTAACGCAGGACCCCAGCTCAGGGCTTTCCCCTGCACACACTCAATGCCCAAGTGCAGATGCTGCTGTCTGACACCCCAGCCCTCACCCCGGGGACCCTGCGATCCCCAATCTGGCTGCTTGCCTCCTCTGTTGACACAGAACCCCTTCTCCCTCCTCTCGTCCCTCAGAGCCTCACCAAGGAGCATCACAGCCTCATCACATTGTCCCAGGGTGTAGCAGTGCATGGCGCAGTCACTGCAGGTGAGCGCCAGCTGCCGCCGAGCCTCCTGGGCCCCCCAGCTCCCTCGCCCTGGCTGTCCTCATGGGCTGCGCTGAAGTCCTTGAGCCGTCGGAGGAGGGTCCCCCTGTGACACAGGGACACAGGGGAGCTCAGAGGTCGATGGAGCCGACCAGCTGCGAGGGTGAAGAATTCGACAGCCGAGGGGTCACTCTCGATGGTGAAGCTGATCTTCAGCAGGGCCCCATACGGAGCCTTGGACACCGCCTTGGCCTTGGCCTCGGCCTCCTGGCCTCTTCTCAGCAGCCTCTGCCTCAGGGCCTGGCCGGCTCCGTGCTGCAGCTCCAGCTCCAGGGCCTGTCAGATGTCCTGGTGACACAGGGCCAGCTGCCTGGGGAGGCTGGGTACCCTCACAGCCTGGCACTTCCCAGCACATCCCCAGCCTCCAGACGGGGCAGCAGGGCCCCTCAGGGACCAGAATGGCCGTACCTGCCCAAAGCGTTTGTAGAAGGAGGCATGGAGCACGTACAGCTCAGGGTTCGTCACGTCCTCCTCCACATCTCTGTTGAGCATCTGGAGGGGCTCTGGGAACTTGAGAGCCACAAGAAACACAGTGCTGCAAGAGGAGATGGGCAAGGCTGGAGGAAGCGCATGGCAAGGCCAGCCCAGCCAGACAGCCTAGCGCTGCCCTGGCTTTATCTCCTCTGGCAAAATACACTGCGGTGAGGCTGCAGTTCGGCTGCCTGTGTGAGGGCCTCCAGGGCCTCGCAGTAGAGCACCCGCTCAAGCAGACATTGGCTCTGCAGGGAAGCCCTGCCAGCCTGGCCACAGGCCAGGGCTGCAGAGAGGGAATGGAGGAGTGGCCGACCTGCAGGTCAAGGACAAGGGCCAGGCAAGCCAGGCAGGGCTGCTCCCATGCAGGCAGCAGCATGAGCACCTTCCTGAAGTTTGGCGTGGCCAACTGAAGTCACAGAACTGGACGAAGGCTCATGCAGCTCTGCCTGGACCATGTACAATGCTCAGCCCACACTGGCCTAGCCCAGCACGGCTCAAACTACCCAGGATCAGCCTGGCGAGAGGTTAACAGCAACCTGAAGCCAGATGCCAGCGTGAGAGCCAGCCTTAATGATGCTGCCTCCCTTCTCTGGCTCCCAGCCAGGTGTATCCCTAGCCCTTTGGGGACCCTTTACCCTCTGTGGATCCAGGTTGATGGCTTTCAAATAGCAGGTGATGGCTTCCTCCCACTGGCCACAGGAGAAGTCCAGCCCTTTCTGCCAGCTGTGGAGAGGAAAAGAGCCATGAGCGAAGCCCAGTAACGTGCTGCTGGACTGGGGGACTGTCACACAGCCTTGGAAAAAAGCTCTGCTCCGCTGGCAGGGCCAAGAGCCAGCCAGGGCTGGAGGAAGGATCATATA